ATGGTCTTGTCAAATAGGTTGCAATTTACATGGTCTTGCAAATTGGCCAGGTTTGCTTTTGATTTTGTAAGGTTTTAAAATCATAGTGGAAACTCTCAAGAGGGATTTACTTGGGGACTGGATGTACACCGGGGAGGTGGAACCAGTATACATGCTTGTGTTTGTGAAGTTCTTTTTCTGAGATTGTCATTCTTTCTTTACAATTTATAATCTACTTTGCAAACTCACCCTCTAGTGTTTAAGTGTAAATCTTCCGTAGATTTTTATAAGAGCGCACTCTATTCTTAAGGGTCACGATCCTACACTTAGTATACATAAGCAAAATCAGACCCTACATTCTCAGCTCATCTCCAGTACATCTACAACATATACACAATATACCCAGGGTAATTTCATGCCAAATTTGCCCTTGGAAGTCCAGCATGCTCAGGGTAATTTTCTTCTGGGAATTCAATTGCAATTCAGCTATGAGCTCCTGACAAAGATGATCAGTTCAACGTCAACTCGATGACACGAGCAAGTTTAATTTTTCAAATATCAACACATCAGCTCCAGTTCCTGATTTTAACATATGGTTAGCGACGTCGCAATACCAGAAGTTGGAAAACTGAAGCCACTTATTGGTCCTTCTACATAGTCCAACGTTGAGCAAAAGCAGGGCTTATCTTATCCAAAGTATTTTAGAGTCCTCGATAAAATACTAAGAAGACTAAAAACTTTGAAGGGGATATCTGTATGCGTTAAAATTTGCCTATAGGTCCCAAACACAGCTCAAGACAGAGAGAATATGAAGAACGTCATCATCTAAGTCAGAGAAGACTAGCCAACGCAAAAGGAAAGAAAGGTGAACTTAAAACAACGACTCAAAAGACTTGGAGCTGTCTCACTATTAGTGAGACAATCTCCACTGTCTTGCACAGCTAAGACAGTGTAGACTATCTCGGCCATGCGAGATAGTGATGGGTATCTCACCAACTGCAAGATAGCCTCCCATGTTTTCTGACGGTTTTGTTGAGTTTTGTGGGGTCCACTTGGCTCCATAACTGCTTGAAAACATGCATTAATGTAGAGGGACAGTTACATCTTGAAAATATGCCCACTACCCACGAAAAATATGACATTTAACGCCCTTTAAGGTAGTAGGCGGCGGTTACAAAGTTCCTAAAACTGTCTCCTTCGACCGAGACAGTGGACACTGTCTTGCCCACATGAGACAGTGACCACCAAGTGATTTGCCTCCTACTCGATGGTTATGACTCCCAATTGCTATAAACATTCCTCTACACACTTGTGCAATGGACCAAGGCGGGCAAATGCGTGATCAAATAGAGAGAGGATAGCATTTGGTGAACTTTGACAGCAAGAGAGAGTTCTTCATTCACTTTAAAGCATTCTCAAGTGTTCTTTGGTATTTCCTTGAGTTGAAACTTATATTTGATCTTGAGAAGAGTAATTTTCTTACCTCGCTAAGGCACTTACTTATGTTATTGTTTCCCTGTCGAAACATTAACTTCAAGCTTTCTTCATATCCAATTTGGAAATGTTGCTCGGTGGTCCACGGATAACGCATCACCGGTACATGCAAAGATCTCACACAAGCAGAAGCTACTACGTATGAGTTTTTATGTGTGTTTCTAGGGAATATAATTTTGTTTCTTTGTAAAGAATAGAATCACACGTGTAAGGCTTATTCTTTTGTTTCTTTTGAACGATTTAATAGAAACTGCCAAGAAAATTTTTCCCAAAGCAGACATACATAACGTGTAGAAATACACTTGTCAGCCACTTGGTATTGAGTTGTATTTTGGCAAAAATGGAAACACCATAACAGTTCGAATGTCGCATGAATAGTGACCCATCAATGACCTCTCATAAATGCACCTCAGAGTCCCAAAAGGCGACACTTTAATTTCACTCGAATCGGCCAGCCAAGTTCTAGCGAAAGGGGTCAGTATTGTATCATAGAAATGAGTAAGTGTTAATCCCATCCCAAGAGATGGCACAGGAGATGACATGTGTCCTAGATTAACTATGCACCAGTTTGACCCAACTCCATGAAGGTTGAGCCAAAGGATGCCATCACTCAGCCCCTTCCTATATGGGCTAATCGAAAGGCATCCACAATCGTACCCTGCTACTAAAATGAACTCCATGCATTGTCATCCATTTAGATCGAGTTCAGAAGCCCCCTCATCCAAGCGACCGAATCAAAAGTCGTCCTTTCTCGGCCCTCTCACAAGGTCAAAACAAAAGGCATTCATTCTAGAACCCCTCGTCGACAGCCAATTACCATCATATTAAATGCACGGTAGGAGTCATCTTACATCCCCGCTGAAAGTCTTAAGGACTCAGCGGACTTTGTTAGTACTTTATTTCCCCTGTCACCGTCACATTAATTATAAAAGTGACTCATACTACCCACAGTCGACACTTGTACAATATTAGCTGAATAAGCCGTCTGCTTTAGACTCGATCGAAGTTACACAACTGCCCTCCTAGATCTGCTATATATAGGTGCATTACCTACTGCACGGAGGTATGCAATCTTTGACGATATAACACATAGCAATTATATATTTTCTCCTCCACTTAAGATCAATACTGACTTGGCATTCGGAGGACCCCCCAAGCAAACCTTACTCTGATCCTCTTAAATATTGTTTGTATGTAGGATTGAAGTCTCTAATCAATAATAAATCATTCAAGAAGATTGAGAAACCCTAAAACTCTCTATATAATACACACTAAATTCACATATTAAATATCTGACATTAACATTTCTGAATCAAGGTGTCACTTGGCTTTGAGTTGGCCATCTATTTGGTACAAGGCGATATTGACATATAATCAGATGATAATTATATAATCGAACAAATTTTCAAAACAGCCCCAAAAAGTTTTTTATTTTTTAAAATCGACCCGATTTTTTTTATTTATCAAAATCGACCCACTTTGCCACGTAGGCTTAATGAAGTTCCTAAATAGTCGGGGTTGGCAACCCCGACTGTTTAGGAGGGTGTTAAACCCCAATTAAAACCCTTAAACTCGAAATTTTTATGTCCTAAACAGTCGGGGTTGGCAACCCCGACTGTTTAGGAACGTCATTAAGCCCACGTGGCAAAAAGTGGGTCGATTTTGATAAATTAAAAAAAAGGTCGATTTTAAAAAATAAAAAACTTTTTGGGACTGTTTTGAAAAATTTCTCTTATATAATCACATGCCGAAAGGTGCCTACGTACTCCTTTGTTCCATTCCCTCAAAATCTAAAATAGAAGGCAATGATGGCGTACTCTTAAAATTCAAGGAGGTGGGAGGTGGCATAGAGGAGCGCTAGCACCACTTGCGCCGCCATCACTCACTCACGTTCGCCCCAAAAATAGGGGTGCTGTGGTTTAACTTAACCGTACCCAACGCTTAACCCAATCCACGCCTCTACCTCTGGGGCGAACGCCGGTGGCATGCGCTAGCACTCCTCGATGCTACGTGTTCTGACAGTAGAAATCCTAAAATACCATCAATGATGAAGTCGATGGCACTCGCCAACTTCTAATTAATATCAAATTAAAACATTTAATAAGTCGATGGCACTCGCCAACTTCTAATATCAAATTAAAGACTGTAATGGTTGCCTATAATATACCAAGTAAAGTTGTAATTTCTGCGCGTGGAGGAGAGGTTAATGTCTATCCACTGCCAAAACTCAGAATTACTCAAACTCGACATCCTTTCTTGCGGAAAAAACAAAGGCATTGGGATAAATAACTGGAAAGTGATAAGTGCAAACACACGATTAACGACGTCTAGAGCAAATCCCATGTTCTCAGAAAAAAAAAGAAGAAGAAAAAAGGAAAAAGGAGGCGAAGAAAAAAAAATGAAAAGGAATACAAAATGAAAGGGCACTGCATATTTCCTCAAGACTCTGAGTCCCCAAGATGAAGCAATTTGTGATGAAGTCGAAGGAATTTTGACTTCCCTGATGTTATTATTAGAATGCTAAGGGGTTTGCCGCAGACTTTTAGCATTAGACCCCGAAATCTTAAAATCGACAAATTTAGAGCTTAGTCGACCGAAAATAAATTTGGCAGGAAAGAGGAGGGAAAGGGATTGATGGTTGATCTCCATCTACATTGTAAGCTATTCCACGAGCCCTTGGTTTTCTTTATCACTGAGATCAAGTCTTGATCTTTCAAAGGGTAAATGGTTAATCACTCAGAGATATGGCCTCTCGTAATGATCCTAGGTCTCTGAATTTTATGCGTTATCTAATCACTTGAGATTACAACTTAAAATCATCAGGAACTTGCTTTACGTACACTTCAATTAATTGTGATGGTTGCAGCTAAATTGTTAGGTAATCAACTTACATTTACGAATTAGGTAAAGATTTTGCAAACCTGTGATAGTGATGTATAAGAAGTTTGGTTTTTGTTAAGCGGCGCGCTCAGTGTTTCCTGGTTTATGGATTTCTTTATTACATAACGCTTGGCAAGGAAATATATATGTATCTATATGTAGTTGTTTAGCACATTTTTAAAAACCGAGCCTATATATATCTACTTCTTTATTACTAAAAGAGAACAACAAAAAAGATAAAATAAACATAAACCTAAGTTTGTGAACAATGAAAAAAATAAAATGAATAACCAACCCACTCCCTCTCTCTCTCTCTCTCTCTCTCTCTCTCTCTCTCTCTCTCTCTCTTCTCCTCTGAGCTCCTTCCTATCTCGTCTCTCTTCTCATTCCGCACACTTCTGAAAGAACTCTCGAGAAGGTGCGCAGGATGTTGTCGTACTGATCCGCAAGGCTCTCTCCATACCCGCTCGCTGTTCTGCCATCGTCATCTACTATTCGACCAGCAGCTCCATCAGCTCCTGTCGCGGTTCTGTTTAGCGGCGACGTCGGCGAAACCTGAGAGAGGAAAGGAAAGCAGGGAAATCTTGCCGTTTTTTTCTAATATCTGCTCTCTCTCGTCTCTTCTCTCTCTCTCTCTCTATATATATTATATATATATATATATATATATATATATATTATATATATAAATATATATATATATATATATATATATATATATATATATATATATATATATATATTATAGAGTCGATCAGTTCCAGCCTCGATTTCCCTCAATCGATCTCTCAGGTACGCTTTGTTCCCTATTTTTTGGTTTTTTATGTTTAATTTCATGCTAGATTCGTTAAATTTGGTTGATCGATATCATCTCACGAATTACGAACCCTAGATTTGGTGGCTCTTTATTCTTTTTATGTAAAAATCGCTTCTTTTTCTTCAATCGCTTTCTTCATCCGCCTCTGCTATAGGGTTCCCTTTGTGAAGCATCCATGTTCCAATTCTAGAGATAATTGCGGTGAACCATTGGTGACTTCCTATCACTCGGAGTTCATGGGAACTTGATTATATATGGTGATTGAACTTTTTAAAGTTGTTTCACATAATTAATCTTTATGCATATTAATTGGTCTGACTTCTCTTTTTGATTGTACATGCATTCTGCAAGTATTGTTCCAGTAGCAGTTGTCGAGACATTGCCAATTAAAAAGTTGAAGAAGTTCGGAAGCCTGCCAAGTGAAGTATAAAATTCTCTTCAGTGTTATACTGCCTTGCATTTGTTACTAAACTACATAACATTATCTTATATTCTTTTAATTTGTTTATAGGAAATGCTCGATTTGCCGACTTCTTTGATATTATACCTTTTTGCCATTTTCGTTATGGTTAACTATTTTTTTCTTTTTATGGTTATCATAACGGGTAATTCTGCTGTGTTGTAAATACTGGTAGAAGGGTATGCATTTAATTGGTATGGAAAAAAGGATAATGCTGTGTTGTAAATACTGGTAGAAGGGTATGCATTTAATTGGTATGGAAAAAAGGATAATTGTTATTTCAATGTTATTGGCCTTCAATTTATTGACATTTAATTGGTATGGAAAAAAGGATAATTGTTATTTCAATGTTATTGGCCTTCAATTTATTGACTGCTGACAGTTCATGTTATTGCAACTATTGCGGTAATTCCAATTTGCAAGTAGAGAAGATAAGTTGGACATGAAATTTTGTCACGGATCACAAAATATATTCTAAGAAACATTAGATTTTTTAATGATGTTTATTATAAAATGGATAATATGATAATGAGAACTTAAAGGAGTTATTATAGTGGAAGGTGCAGGATCATTATTGGAGTAGGTTGAAGCTACATAAAAACTGTGTTTGTTTTAGATTTTTTTTCATGATTTGTTATGTTTCTTATTGAAGAAATGGGGAAGTGATCATATTGCTTTGGTTTGCGAATTCGCTTTTGTAGATGATGACAATGCAAGCTAATGTTCTTCAGCTTCTGCACATATGCAAAATGACCACGAGGTCCACGACCAGGTAGATTTTTTTCTTTCAATCAAATTCAAATAGGGTAATGGCATTTGTTTGAAATCAGGTAGTAACTCTTTTTCCTTTGGATACCTTCATAATCAAAGAAGTGGTATGTAAGGTGACAAGTCTGTAAATCTTGCAATCTATAATTCAGCTCATGCAGGAAACTTTATAAAAAAATCAAAGAAGTGATAATATAATATTTTTTATGCAGATTTTTTTTATAAAAGAGTGTGTTTTGATTCACCCAACAGTAAGAATTCAGGAGGTAGGTCAAATAATTGGATCTTTTTACTGTTTTCCTATGGTTCTTATTTTTTAATCTCTATTATTCATTTTGTGTAGATTTTAAGACCCTACATATCTTCAAATTATCATCAAATACCGTTGAAGATGAAGTTTTAGGAGACCAAGAGAAGGAGGACGAAGAAAGCTTAAATCAAGAGAATCAATCATTCTCTTGATTCCAAAAAACTTATATGTTGTCTGTATAAGTTTATGATTCCTTATTTGTTATTCTTCTTATTGCAGAAATGGGGAAGTGATCATCTTTCTTTGGTTTGCGAATTCGCTTTTGTAGATGATGGCAGTGCAAGCTAATGTTCTTCAGCTTCTGCACATATGCAAAATGACCATGAGGTCCACGACCAGGTAGATTTTTTTTCTTTCAATCAGTAATGCTTTCAAGTCAATGAGTACAATCAGTAATGCTTTCAAGTCAATGCTGATTTAGGGCAATTATTCTGTCATTATCATTCTCTAGCTACCTGTGTAATTTTATTGGTCGTGTATCTTCTCAGTTTCTGCCTTTGACAACAATCTATAATCTATTATGATTAACCTCCAGTGAGCTTCAGCTCATGAAATGATACTGTAATTACAATAAGCAGGACCTTTGTATGTTATGCTTGCATGTGTTATGTCAAGACCAGTCCTGCGTGCAGTAAATCCATGAAAGAAAATCCTTCCAGCAAATGTCACTGAATCTCAAAGAATCACAGTTGGTTTGACATATAGCTGTATAGTTCAGAATTTCACAGATTCCAGGAATCAGATAGGATTCATTTTACTTGGTTGTTTATCGTTATTCTTATCCTTCCATTATAGGTTTCTTTTAGCCCATGAATTTAACATCCTATAAACTGAACAGCTTAAAGTAGCATTTGATCAAAAAATTAGCCTGAAGCTTCAAAATTAAAACTCTAATATTTAGATGTTATCTATGATATCTAAATGGATTTTTTTTTAAAAAACATGCAACTTTAAAAAAAAATTCTCTACCCAACATCTCATAAAGTGAACAGATTGAATGCATATTGGACTAGGATCTGAAATTTCTGATTGAATCCTGATACATTGACCTCATTAAAAAAATAAAAAAAATAAAAAGTAATAAAAACCTTCATACCAAAATTTTCTCGTGTTAGATACCTAACTTGCTATTAAAAATAAAAAGTAATAAAAACCTTCATACCAAAATTTTCTCGTGTTAGATACCTAACTTGCTATTCAAACCCCTCCATTTTAATGATACCAAAATTTTCTCGTGTTAGATACCTAACTTGCTATTCAAACCCCTCCATTTTAATGCCGCTTGCTGAACAGGTAAGAAATCATTTCATTATTTGCATGTTTGGTAACAATTTAACTCTACAAGTCAGATAACGAATTTTATTATTTGCATTACATCTACTACTTCATATCTAAATCAGAATACTTTATTTTGGTAACATGTTCAGTATTTGCAGAAAATCTTTTAGAAACCGTGCTTTGCACGGAGCTAAATACTAGTTTTGATAAATAGACAAAATACATTAACACTCCTCTCTCTAATCACGAGAGGGTAACAAAAAGTGAGACAGACCTCACATGTACAAAAATAAAACTATGAGCTGGAACTACAAAAGCTCCTGAAAGAAATAAATAAGTAAAACTCCCACTAGCGGTGTCGGCAATATAATGTGAACCCTATTTGGTCACACCACAGCAAATGTTGAATGGGCCTGGGAAGATCCGATATAGTCAGGAAGCTAGTAATGGAGGTGTGGTAGAGAGTGACCGAGCATCGAAAGGGCATCAACCACCTGATTAGCTTCTCTGACACAGTGGTGCATAGGAACATCGCCAAGGTGTCGATGCATGGCTTGCCAAGGGCAGAGGATCGCTTCCAGTGTGGGCACGAATGATCGACCGATGCTTTTGGCTAGGCTCATGGAGTCAGTGCAGGCTATTGTGAGATGGAGGTTCATCTCATCAACGAGTTCAGCCCCCGTTGCAAAGGACTTGCATTTCTCCTTGAAAACTGGTACCATAATCCCTAGGTCTTGCAGGGTGATGTCAATAGTTTGCAAGGAGCCAATCCCATACTTGGAAGAGTACATCATTGGTTTGACAAGGTGAACCATGTGCCATGTGCTGAAGTATGTAGTTGTTTAGCACATGTTCTTGCTTTATGCATATTGATTTGTGACACTTATACGTGCTACCTAAGTCTAATATCAGTTACCTCTCACCACTTACATTTGAGTCACAAGGTTGTTAAAAAGGAAAAATTGGCTAAGTGTACGGTTTATGTTTTGCACATGTTGAAGTCGGTTTAGATGGGTGCATGACCAATTTTTTTGATGATGATTATGCATTATATTCACTTGGGTATTATGTATTTCACGACATAATTCTATTAGGATGTTCTATAATTGTATTCCGGCTCACACGGCGTGCATCTTACTACACTATGATACGTTAAAACTAAGCAATACATGTGAATACTTCGTGTTAACTGTACAGACATAGCCTATCTAGTTTTGACGCGTATAAATCATTTTTGAGCTCTAATTTAACTCATCTCATGTCATAACTTATGACACAGATTTCTTATGTATGACTTTGTCTTTTATTATTGGGTAAATTTTAATTAAGAAATTACTATGAATTGTCAATTGCCATGGTTTTTCCTCTAGATAACTACGATGGACATTTTTTTAATTGGAAATCTACAATATACGTGCCTAAAGAATATTCTTTAGGAATTATATCATGTAAAATATCGGCCGCAATATCGCTATTGCGGCCAATATATCGGGTTTGAGAGACGACATTGGTGAAATTATATCGTTTTCCGATTGGATTTTTTTCTCTCGATATTATCGGCAGTGTTAATATCGGCCTATTTTGGTGAATATCGGTCAATTTTTTAGGTTTAATTGAATTGGGTAAGTTTTGGGCTGGTAGGGCTCCTAAACCCCGTTGTTTGGTAACCAAAGTGTGTCTTTTTGTAGTGTTTTTTTAAAAAACATCATACCATGGTGTTTATTTTTCAAACGTGTTTTCAAAACAGCATTTATAGTTATTATTTATATAGCGGCGGACGGCAGCCGTCGCGCAGGGGTGACGACTGGCGACGACCGGACACGAACCGCAGCAAGCAGCAGCTGCGGCGTCGGCGGGGCCGACGACTGGCGACGACCGCACAACGATCCGGCGACGAACGGCAGGGGCGCGATGGCCTGGGCGGTTGCGACGATGACCTCAGGTCGACGGCGGGCTGCGGACTGACCACCGGACGTGGGCTGCAGGGGTCGGCCCGGCAGTCGGCCGACCGGCGGGCGGCTGCGTGACGGCCGACCGGGCAGGCTGCGGCGACGGCGGCGGCGAGGAACGACCGATGGCGCAACGGCGGGCGGTGACGCGGCAGCGGCTAGCGGTGCCGGCAGGCGGGTGGCGGCAGGCGGCGCGGCGGCGGCGAGTGGTGGCGGCGGGCGCGGGCGCACAGGCCGGCCGACAGCAGCGGCTGGCGGCGACGGCGGGCGGCCGACGGGCAGCGACGTTCGCGCGCCCGGTGGCGACAGGCCTGACGAGCGTACACGGCGGCTAGCCGACAAGCGTCGGCTTAGATGAGAAAAAACGAGCAGCGGCGCGCGGCAAGGCGGACGACCGACAGCGCAGCGATGGGCTAAGGGCGGCGGTCGGGAGGGCGGCGGTAGGCGGCGACCACGACGGGTGGTTGGCGACGGACGACCCGACCGAGCAGACGGCGGACGGGCGGCGGCTTAGATGAAAAAAAGGAATCTCAAAACACCCTTTTTGGTGTTTTAAAAAAAAACGTTTATTTTTTGGATTTTGTAAAGGGTCAAGTCCAAAAATCGCCCCGGTTGCAAAACATGTTTCATTGTTTTTTTTGAAAAAAAATCGAAAACGGCAAAACGCCATGGTTGACAAACGATCCCAAGTTTGGCTGTTTTCGTTTTGATTTGAGAATATGTTTAATATAATATCTAACATAATATATTAAATATAATTAATATAGAGTTATTATGAACATGCTTATTATATATACTATATATATATATTATAGCTAATTTAATATATTAGTAATATTTAATTAATTAATATAAAAAATATAATAAATAAAATATCTTATATAATAATATAATAACATATTAAATACTAAATATTTAATATGTTAATAATGTACTATATAATAATAAAATAATAAATAAATATAAAAAACTAATAAAATATAAAAACCTATTAAAAATAATAAAAAGCTATTGATAATAAATAAAATACAATAATGATATAATAATATACTATACAATAGTATAATTTCTATAATAATTATTAACTTTTTAATAAATAAATGTATTAATTAATAATTATAAATATTATATAATAGTAATCATAGTTAATAATAGCATAACAAATATAATAATATTTATTATAATAACATATTGTATAATAATATAATATAATGAATATAAAATATTAATATATTATGTAGTATATAATATAATTTATTATAAAGTAAAATAATTTTTAATAATAAAATAATGTATTTGTAAACAAATGTGTTAATGTAAAAATAATATATTCATAATAAATAATATTTATTAATATCATAAATATAATATAACATCATAAATACTAATATATTATTAAAGTACTATTAATAAACTCTAACATATTAGAAACTATAATATATTATATAATATTAAAATATTTATGATATATTAATTTATTAATAACATATTAGTAATAACATAACATTAACATTAATAATAATATTAATATCATAAATACTAATATATTATTAAAGGACTATTAATAAACTCTAACATATTAAAAACTATAATATATTATATAATATTAAAATATTTATAATATATTAATTTATTAATAATATATTTGTAATAACATAACATTAACATTAATAATAATATTATACTATTATTCATATTAATATCATAAATACTAATATATTATTAAAGGACTATTAATAAACTCTAACATATTAAAAACTATAATATATTATATAATATTAAAATATTTATAATATATAATAATATATTAGTAATAACATAACATTAACATTAATAATAATATTATACTATATGAATAATAGTATAATATTATATTATATTAATAATAGTATAATATTATATTATAATAATAAAGGAACATTATTATAAAAATATTTATATAATATACAACAATAACAATTTGATATACCAAAATAATTAAATATATAATTATTTGAAAATAATATGTAATAATATAACTCATTAAAGTACAATATAATGTTATAATACATTATATCATATTATATCGCATTACATTTTATACTTATAATACTATAATAATGTAAACTAAATATTATAACATTTTATTTATAATATATTTTATTATAATTAATATATAATAAATTAATAATATGTTTTATAATGGGTCAAACTAGTGTTGACCAAAAATACTTAACATGATGATTTGAAAACATTTTAAGGAAAAAACACAACACCATGATGTTTTTTTACAAAAACACAACATGCAAAACACCATGGTATCCAAACGAAGTAGATTCGTGAATATTCTATTTTCATGAAAAAAATAAAAAATATATGAGAAAGTCTACAAAAAGTGTTAAAGCATAAACAAATAAAATGTGTTTTGAAATAAGTGTTGTATTTTTTGTTTAAAGATGATTTAGCTCAAAAAAACACCACGGTTTTCAAACACATGATGTTTTGTTTTTGATAAAAATACCATGGAAACAAGTAAAACACCATGGTATCCAAACGGAGCAAATTAGGTGTTTTGCATGTTGTGTTTTTGTAAAGAAAACAACATGATGTTGTGTTTTTTCCTTAAAATGTTTTTCAAATCACCATGTTAAGTATTTTTTGTCAATACTAGTTTGACCCATTATAACATTAGTACTAAACATATTATTAATATATTATGTCTGAATTATAATAAAATATATTATAAATAAAATATTATAATATTTAGTTTACATTATTATAGTATTATAAGTATTAAATGTAATGTAATATAATATTGTATAATGTATTATAACATTATATTATACTTTAATGAGTGATATTATTACATATTATTTTAAAATAATTATATATTTGACTATTTTGGTATATCAATTTGTTATTGTTGTATATTGTATTAATATTTTTATAATAGTGTTATTTTATTATTAATATAATATTATACTATTATTCTTATTATTAAAAATTATTTTACTTTATAATAAATTATATTATTTACTACATAATATATTAATATTTTATATATTATATTAAATTTACTATACAATATGTTATTATAATAATATTACTATATTGTTATGCTATCATTAAATATGTTATAATTATTAATTTATTACAATTTATTTATTAAAAGTTAATAATATTATAGCAATTATTACATAACAGATAACTAGGTTAGTTACAGAAGGTTAGGGGTAACTAGGTTATCCCTTATGGCCCCGTTTGGCAAAGGGTTAATGAAAAAGGGTGAAAGAGAATGATTAATGTACTTAGCCCATTTGATAATCCGAAGGACTAAATTATTAACCCGTTAAATAAGTTTTATTTTAGCCCTTATGATCAATTTTAGTGTTTGGGAATAACAATGATTTTGACTATTTTCTTTATAATTAGAAGGGTTAACTCTTATTCCATCTAAATAGGAGTATTAGTAAACCCCTCATTTTGAGGGGTTAACTTATTTTAACCCCTCTAGAGGGGTTAACTTAACCCTTCTATATTTTTTATGTTTGGCAAATTATGGATGGTTAACTCACTTTAACCCTTATATAGATTTGTTGTGTTTGGCATGTTAAGAATGGGTTAAGTCTCCTTAACCCCTCACTTAACCCTTTGCCAAACGGTACCTATGTGTATTGTAACTCTACCTGTATGTGTAACTAACCTATATAAAATAACGAAAGTAAATAAATAACCTAAACATGAGTGGAGAGAAAAAAAAGATAGTTTTTTAAGAGAAAACAAAATAATTTGATTCTCCGTGATAATAAGATATCCAATCTTCATCAACCAACAAGATCTATCAGTGGAGAGTGTTTTGGTTGAAAGTTGATTTCTTCATTGAGGTATTCATTATAACTTCAATCGTTACAATGAAAACAAAAGGATAGTCTTTTATAAGACTCTTACACAATGAAAACAAAAAATTAAAACTCTCGTTAAAACAAACACAACGGACGTTTATCTCCTGCTGCTTACGTGGGATCTTGGCCTGTGACAGGGATGTTGATATCCGTGGACCACCAAACGATCAGATCGATCCGGAGCTTCGTTGATTCGCGAAGGAATCAAGAAACAGAAGCAAT